AGAGAATAAACAGTTACTCAAAAACATTCCCTTGTTCTTTTCAGACAGCAAACCATCAACTGCAATAGACTGCAATAGATTCTCCAATGGCCACAACTTTTTGTCTTCGTTTATACTTATGCCAAGCAGCACAAATACTGTTAAAAACGTAGATTTTCCTACTCAGTGACACCAATGGTAGCTTATTGTATTTCTTTTCCACACATTTTTATCTGGGTGTGAGTGATGCTACAAACTAGAAGGCTGTGGAGAATCAAATTCTGTATGGTTTGGATAGTCCAAGTGACCTACTTTTGATTGACTGGAAGATCATTACAGGAAAAGGTACTCTCTTTGGCTGTGGACGTTCCTAAAACTTTCTGAAGTGGAAGGAGCTGTGATTTGGGTCCCCAGAAAGTTACTTGTAATAGTAATTTAAGGAAAACAATGAACAATGGATGCACACAGAGAAAAGCCTTGGAAATATATGCCTACATTAGGTAATGATTGCTTTTCTGTTCTGTATTCCAAAAGTTGGAGTTTTGCTGAAAGACCTTAGCATATTTATGGTGAGAGAAAGCAATCCATAATTCAGTATGGATAAAGCACAAATAGCAGCAGTGTTGTTCACAGATGAATACTCACCCTCTGGATTGCTGGGAACACACAGGACTCATTCATCATGTCTTATTGAAATCTGCCATTACTCTAGAGAGGCAGGCTGTCCATGGACACCCTAAAGATGCCTGTCAGTAGTGGAGAGCTATAGGGTTTTACATGGAGTCTGAAGTTTGTGTAATAAAAACTGGAAAGTATCCTAAGCGGAAAAGTAGAGCCCCAAGTAACACATCTCTCTGTGGTTTCTTACCATAGTCTTCTAGCAGCTGCTTCTGGAACTGTGATAAAGTTAGTCGGTCTTGTGGAGAACTTGCACCATTGTCATCAAAACACACTTGGTTCAGCTAAAAAACACATCCAAAAAAAGAAGCACAGATATTTCAACTTCGCCTTACATAAGGGATGCACTCAGAAGATACCTGTTCCATCTGAAGCCCCTCCTAAGATTTGACCAAATGACTAGAAACTACTTCTAGTCACAACATCAGGCCCATCCATTGCTGGGAAGCAAAGATCGCTAACATAGCAACAGCAGCAACCCATGCAGATATAACCCAGGGGTCCTTTTGTATCTGTCCATGCCATCAAACTCTGATGCTGCGACTCTGAATACTCACTAAGTAATAATTAAAAGCAACAAGGAAAATTCAAAGGATCCTCACTGCAGCAAGCTAACACTACTTGTAAAAACAGCTGACAATGATCACTGTCAAATGAAGAACATGACAGTTCCAAAGACAAGTGTCCCCAAATTAACACCTGATAGTACAGAGGGTAACACAGCAGCCCTGGGACTCAGGTTCCCAGCCCTTCACTATCTGCAAGGTCAAGTCACATGCATTATATTGATGCAAAACACCAGACCCAGAAGCAGGGAGGTTAGCAGAGCAGTGCAGAAATGCAATACCATTTAGACCTGTTCATAAAAAAAAAAAAAAAAAAAACAAAGAAAAAACAACCAACAACAAAACCCCAACACCACACTTACTTTCAGCCAAAGATAATCTTCTGTTTTATCAGCAACTTCACTCTGGTTATCTGTAATGTCACAACGGCCAATAATGCAATAAACAGCCCTTTTGTACGGGTCAGTATTATTTCTCAGAGCTCGTCTGTAATGAAGACGCAGTTTATTTTCTGTGGCAGGAGACAGTCTAAGGAAAAAAAAATATTATATCAGGAAACCTGGATATAAATCAATGTATATAGATGCATATTCACAGCAAAGGTGTAATGACAGTAAGCACTGGCTGGTATTTCTTGCACTTTCTATTTACATCTGTAGGTAAAAATTTTGCACACAAATTTAAATACATAATTATAAGTTATGGAGGATCATCTTCAAATACCCATTGTGGGGGGTGTGGTGTGTGGAAATTAGATGTCAGTCTCTTTAGGGGTGCATTAATATTGTGGTAGATGAGCTATTTTTCCTCTGACTCTGCTATTTCATTATTTCAGAAAAAGAGAGCTCACAAAGTCTTTGGAACTCTTTGGGTTAGCAACTAACAAGTAAGCAGGTCATTGTACCATGAAGACATTTAGGAGAGACACTTGTCTTCATTAAATACTGTCATAATGTTCTTTGTCATTCTGTTTCTTGTACCCTCTTGTAGAGAATTTTACAGAATTGAATCAATAAAGTGTTCTCCTAGACTAAGACATGGTTTGTCAAATCTGTAGGCAGAATACCTTTTCATAGCTGTAATAAAACCAAAATAAATCAATTATACTGTATCTCATTAAAATGTTTGTAATGAAAACAATGACAGTACCTTCACTAACGTTTCTGGAACAATCTTATTATAATGAGCACTCCTAGATATTCTCTACAAACCAGGTTAATTTATAGAACAATAACATGGCATACACTACTTGGTAATGGCACTTTGATCCCCCACCCCCCCACCTCAGTTTGTTGGGTTTTTTTGGTTTTTTGTTTTTTAAGACATGCAAACTGCTATGTTCTTGCTCACATTATCACACATGAAGAGCCCCAATACATTCAATATATTGCAGGATGAGGGCTTCCCACATATGAATGAAATTGTCAAAAGCTGAGGTGGGATATTACAGATTCACATCCTGGCACTGACCTGGGTCCTCCAGTTTCCCCCATTTTCAGCCAGTACCTTAGCACAGTGCCATTCCCCTGAAGGGAACACAGTTACAATGCAATAGCTGACTGTGTGCTTGTTTGAAATTCATTGCAAGTGGAAAGATAAACAAGATAACCTAAAACACCAAAGCAGAGTTCAGAGCACACCTTAAGATGCACTAACTCAACTGCTTGCAACCACATAATCAGTAGTTTGCCCAGTGGCCTCTGTCAAGTGATGGGTATCAAAAACTGGAAAAGTAGAATAAGCACAAGGAAGAGGTAAAAGTAAATGCCTCTAAAGGTCTCCAACAAACACTACTTACTTTTGTTTGTGGCATTCTTATGAAAACAGGTGTAGTAAAAAGCATTCCCCAAAGGAAGTTCAACTAAAATAAGTGACGGGTGAAATAAAAAGACACAGGATTCATGACAGCAGACTAAATCTGATCTATTGTATGCAGTATCCTACTGTTGTTACACAGGGCAGATCCTGTAGTAAAAAAACCAAAGCTACACCACTATATTATTTTTGAAATGTAAATTTTTGCATATTTTCGAACAACTCTTTCTCTATGGAGATTTATAGACTGCAAAGCCACAAATTGAAATATGCAAGTTTCTTACATGTAATTTAGGTAGGTAATATAAACAGCAGGCAGCCATCACCACCAGAAGATACCTGAGCTTCTTATATTTCTACCAAGCCACTGATTATTTCACTACTCCACAGCAACTCCCACCCCTCACAAAGATCTTTCCTAGTTCCCGATTACCTTTTATCTTTACTGTGCATGTACTCCTGGAACCAGGTTTTAAACTCTCCCAGCTGGTGCTGTGCCCGTTTCACCACATGCATGGCTGCAGTCAAATCTCCACAGCGCATGCAGTAGTAAATCAGTGCCCAGACAGGATGGCCTTCCACCTCACCATCCTGAAAATAAAGTAAGAAATAATCTATTTTTTTTAAAAAGCAGCATATTTGAATTCTTTTCCTTTATCATTTGCCTCATTCATTATTTCTGCCCTTACACCCACACACTGATTTTGGTAAAAAATTCTGTTTTTGTTACAGAAGCCAGAGGTCATGAGTTTTAGGTCCTGTGAAAGCTGTGCACACCCTAGCAACAAAGGATGGGACTGTCTTCTGCTTGCCCAGATTTCAGTTCTGAGTGAGGTTCTGAGAATCCCAGAACTAGCATATGGGTATCCTCCCCACCCAGGAGGTGGATTTGGATTAGACCACTGAGGTATTAGAAACATTTGTACTGAAAAAGAAAGATACCAAACTAATTGTGGATCTCGGGTAAGCAGGTAAAAAAAGGACAGCTAGACTGAGCTATGTGTCTCCAATGTTATAATTATATAATTATAATTAGCTTTAATTTTTTGACCCAGCCTGCCTGTTTATCTGATAATTTTGTGGGTGCACAGCTATGCACTTTCCACTATGTGCCAGTGAGCAGGATTTTATTCAGATTCCTAAATAAAACGTTCAGGCTACAATTCAGATTAATTCATTACATATTTATAGTTATCAACAACTGGTGTCACCATCTTACAATAAGTGCAAAAAAAAGCGAAACAGGGAGATTAAGTTACTGCTTTTGTATCATAACGTATTCTAATACTTGCTTGTTGATCTCTAAAAAGACCACTAGAGGAGATTAAGTTACTGCTTTTGTATCATAACGTATTCTAATACTTGCTCGTTGATCTCGAAAAAGACCACTAGAAGAAATCATAATTTCTAGAATTTAGAACTCAAACTACTGTGCACCACCATGCTTTGGGACTAGCTCTGAACTCAAAGTGATTCTGTCCATCTTCCATGTTCCTGATGAAAAAAAAAAAAGCCTGCTGCCCTAAAAGCAGTTTAAACAATAGAAAAACCCACCAGAGGTTGCACTAGTTTCCTGGCTGCGTGGAGCACTTTCTCAGCTCGGTCGCTGAAAGTGATGGACATACCTGGAGACCAGGGACAGGCGCAGGGAGTTTGATGTTCAAGAAGCTGCGGACTAGTTGGTAGGTCCCTGGGACTCCACCCAGCTGAGCCTGGTGCAAGTTTCCAAAGACTGTCACAAAGGTGTAATTTTTGTAACTGAAAAACAACACAAACAAAACAAACATATGAACAGACTGAACTATATTTGCTACAAAAACATCCACTGCCTTTCAGGTCTAACCAAATTAGCAATTTAAAGCAAATTACCTTAATGTTCAAACATTACCGTTACAACAAAATGAGCCAAAAACTTCTGTCAATATTCAGCAGTCTCAAGAGAAACCATGTTTGGAGTCTGGTGTACTGCTCCAGGTTCAACTCTATTATGAGGTCCATCTCATTAGGTTCTCTCAGTACTAAGTTAAACTCAGTTACGTAACTGGCAAAAAGCCTTGCCATCCTAATGATTTCTCAATCCTGTCATAACATCTCAATCCTAAGAACAGGTAAACACCACAGATATGTTTGTGTCTCCCCCCTGCATTATGGACAAATACAAATTTGAGGGACACAGACTTACCAGAAGGGAATCACAGAGAAAAAGGAAATTTAGAGAAAAACAACTGGTAAAGGCAGCTTTGAGAATGCCTTCTAAAATAACCATCAAAGCCTTTAATCAAGGCAAGTCAATTTAACAAATATTCATGTTTAGAAGCAGGAGTCTCGAAAGTCTGTACACTGAAGGAAAACCTATATAAGCAGCAGCAATAAATGACATGAAGTTCTTTTTTTCTCTGCAGCACAATAGACTTGTGCACCACCAGACTATAAAACTGAAAGGCTATGCTAAGCATAAGCAACCATCAGTGTATCTTGATATTACAGCTGAGTTAAGCACATGCTCCTCCAGGCTTAAGATGACAGTTGCTCCAAAGCAACTAATGCAAGAACAGCTGTGAGCAGCACTACATCTCCTCCTCATACGTACAAGGGGCTGGTGAGGCATGGAAACACCCCAGTATTAGCCAATTCCTGCTAGGAAAGAAAAGCTACAAAGCAAAGCACGCTTCTTCGGGTGGTGGGTTTTTTGTTTGTTGGGGGGTTTTTTTGGTTGTTTTTTGTTTGTTTTTTTAAATCAGGCCTGAAGGGCCCGATGTCCACAGTTGGGAGGGTTGGGGGGGGGCGGGACTATAAGAAACTAATTCCTAATTTCAGTTAGCAGTTAATGGCACTGTGAAAATTTAGCAAGTTGGATATTTGGCAAATCAGGTTAAGAGTCACTGGACTGGCTCATCACACACTGCTGAGACTGAAGAACTGGAAACAGAAGATTCCTTACGATGTGTCAGTTCATCTGTGCACAGGCAGGCATGCCGCCACCATCCCTGGGTGACAACAAGTGCTGATGAGGTGTGGCAACCAACTCTCAGGGGCCAAGAAGAAGCTGTGCCAGTAGGCAAAAACATCTCTTCCCAGCGTGCTGTATCAGAGCATAGCACTTTCCGTGCTCAGATGGCAGATCTGTATCCGTAACAAATGCCCACGCACTACACTGCAGCTATTGTTTGCTTTCCACTGCTGAACTAGCCTGCTGGCATTACATCGGCAGCTACTAGATAAGAGACACTGCAATATCCACATGTGCAGTGAATAGGTAATACAGCCATCCAGGGATTCAGCTTTGGGCTTTCTCTCTACTACAACCATTCTGTCTGCTCCATAGCCTCCAATTCTCCAAGCATTTTCTTGGTCAAGGAGCTTAGGCCCTCATGATACTTGCTGATACAGACAGTAAGCCACTTTCCAGAGTCTGAAAATCATTGCCAGATGTCTCAGCATCAGCCTCCTCAAATTTTACAAAAACCTTTCGGTGTAGAAATGGCATGATCAGAACCTGATTTGTTGCACCAGATTTGTCCCCACTGCTGTCCCCACTTCCTCCCAGCACTAGCTCCTGACAGTGATCAGCAATCAGAAAGGGAACATAGAAAAGGGGAATTTTTTTGCAGAGGGGAAATAGATCTCTTTCCACAAGTGAAACATCTTCACTTATCACTATGACAGATATAGAATATTTAAAGGCAACACAGAAGAAAGAATTAAAAGTCTTTGCGTCTTCTAAACAACCTCCCCATGGATTCAAGGCCTTTTTAACTAAAACAGTTTTATACTCAAGTGGCTGCTCTAAGCCCTGCAGAACAGAAAAGACAGGCAACAGACACAACAGCAGCAAGAGGCAGCTGACTTGTTAATGTGCTTGTGTGCATTACAAAGTAATTCTGGCTTATTATTAGGGAACTCTAAACTGTACTACCCAGAGCATTCACCTTACCTTTGTTCTAGGTAGTGCAGAGCCTGCCTCACGAACTCCATAAGCACCTCCATGTTGGTCCGGACTTTCAAGGCATCGCTAGCAGGAACCAGAGTGACATCAGTCATTTGTTTCACCATGGCCCACATCTCAGAGATGTTCTATAAACAAGCCATTCCACACAACAGTGATTAGTACAGAGATGAACAAGCAACACTGTTTTGAGCTACATTGTGTTTTGATGCTTAAGAAAAGCATAGAACACAAGAGTAATGTCAGTTCAGACTTGTAATGGAGATACTGAACGTAGTCATGAAGGTAAGCACCTCCTATTGTGCAGAATTCAAATTTCCCAGGCTTCTCTGCATAATTCTTGCACAAGAACATAGCTATAAATATTGTACCTGCAGTTGTCACCCAGGATCGACAATGACTTCCAAAATTAGGCTGGGTACTTGGTGCTCAGCCTCCTTCCCCATTTCCAGCTTGTACATCCCACTCAATAAATACCACAACAACATCAGCTTTCTATATAAGAAATTGCTCTGGCTGCCACTGGAAAGCTGTGCAATCAGCTGTGATGAGAAGTGTCTAAAGGACACCAATCACTTGGACAAAGACTCAGGTCTGAAAAAAAAAAAAGTTGAAAGCCATCCAGGTCTGCTCATCCATAAGGATGAGATTGTATTAGTATCTACAGGACTAGAGTATCCCTGCTGAAACAGCAAAATACTGAGAAGTAACAGCACTGTTAGCTCCAGCAAGAGCAGGTACTTGATCTCAGTGCTTCAGAACAGCAAGAACATTGAAACTCACCATATTGCCCCTAGCAAAATGAACAGAGCTGTTCAAAGCAAAGATGCATGTCTGTAATTCAAATCTGACTGAAGCATTTGCCCCTCAGTTTCTGAACAGCTTTTTGCTCTCCCCATTTGCAAAGTTTTTTCATGACTTGGCCCTCCTGCAGTATTCTCCTAGCATTTCTCCAACGTGGCCAGGTTTGTGCATTTGTTTTTCAGGGGTGGATCAAGGCAACACAACTAAAGGAGCGGGGCAAAAAAGAAAAGCAGGCAGATCACTGGCTTAAAGTCAATCCTAGGGGCTTTATGCTTTGCTATGGGAGCCTACTTCAGCTCTAGCAGGGTCTGACTGAAGTTCCTTCACCTACAGCTGAATACGTTCAAAAGATATTAGGAGGACACATTTTGAAAACCAAACACAACAGAAGGCATTTAAAATTAAGAGCGATTTTCTTCCTCAACACCTCATCACTCATGATGGGACAGACAGTGAAAGCAGGTTTTTTTCTTCCTCACTGTGTTAAGAAATTTTCACCATGACCAAGTTCATCACTGGTGGGCCCTGCTGTACTAGAGAAGATTCCAGTATTGGCTCTGTGTTTTCTGTGGAGCTGGGCAATTTTTTTTTGGCAATTATCAGTATTTTTCCACCAACGTCAGCAAGGCTGTTAATCACAGCTGAAAACAGATTAAATACATTTCCTTACATTAGCTCACTGGCAGTACCTTATCATCCAGTTCTGCAACAGCAGCACAAAGGTCCACCAGGTTAGGCTGCAGATGTCCATTCACTATCTTCTCATTATAAACATAAATCTGAAACATATTGAAAGTAAGCAAGTTTAAGAATACATATTACTCCCCTTCCCTCTCCCCAGCCACAGCAGCAAAATCTGAACCAGGCTTCAAGAACAGAGTGTCCCCAGCAAGTCCCTTCTGCTTCCCTCCCACATTAGCCGCATCTAATCCAACGCAACAGGAATGAGCATCAGCACCTACTACGCTTCCACAACAGAGCCCCAGGCCTGCCTGAAGGCAGGCAGCAATCCAGCTGTTCAGGGGTTCTGCATGGCAAAGCACTGTGCTGAATGCCCTGTTAGACTAACTGCAGCTAATTGTTAGAGGACACAGATTAAGAATAGACCTGACAACTAGATGGCTGTGATATTCCCCTGCACGGCAGCCTCCCACCTGCTGACATAAAAGAAACAGAATTTTGCTGGTTTGTGGCAGTATTCAGGGAAATATGACACAGGGAAATGAGAACAGAAACATGGCCCTTTAAAACCTGCCTTAAACTTACATACACATGCATACACCCATTTTGATTTATATCTTGGTCTTAATTTAGCTACTTCTGCTATTGTTTATTCTACTCTCAGCCCAAAGACCTTCCAGCTACCTCTGAAAACAATCATTCTCAATACTAAAAAGGCAGTGCCATCATATTTTAAGTCTCTTTTTCTTGCATGCACTATTACTTCAACATGCCCAGCATGCAAACAAGATGCAGAGCTCAGTATTGCACCCAGAATCTAGCATCAGTGAAATTACATATGTGGACCTGACCGTGTTTCTATGAAACAGTTTGAACTAGACACAAAGAACAATTAATCATCTCAGTGTAATTAAAACACATTTCATGTCTGATAAACTGAAAGAGCATGGACTGCCAGATCTCCAGAAGTCCTAACCCCCCCCACTGAAATCCATAGGGGCCCCACATCCAGTGCTGAAACCCAGGTATTTTTTTGCACTCAAGGAGGGTGACATTAAGGACAGCTCAGCCAGGCCAGCTTCTCCAGAGGGCTTGCTGGGAGCACACAGTGGCTGCACCAAGTGCTTGGTGGCAGAAGCCTGGCCACAGATGCCATGTTTCCACAGCACATTGCAAGCAGCCTGCATGCAGCCCGTAAACCTGATGAGAGCCCACCTGCCCACCCACAGGGAAGACACTGTGACTCTGCAGCTACCCCTGGTACTAGCACTGCTAGGGAGGTTGAGGTTTCCATATCCACAAAACATCAGGGAACAACGCTGTCAGCCTCAAAGTATGGATATAATTATGCCACAAGGAAGATCCTTAATACAAGAATATTACAGTAGACATTAACGTACGTTAACAACCACTAAATCAAATATACACTTTATCAGCACAACCACGCACCTTACTTTGCAATTCATTTCTTCACAGTTACCATAACTGAATGCAGACATAGAAAAACAGATGCACACGCTGCTGTCTGGCTCAGCAAAGACTCAGCCAATGCACACAATCACAGTAATTGTGTGCAAATTAGGCAACGCTTTGTCTATATAGTTTTACATATTCCATTTTGAAAAATCAAGTCTTTCTCATTTTGTTTCCAACAGTGCTGGTAAACAGATCATCTCAAACAACAAAAGTAACAAATTTGTTATGTAAAGATTTACCAGTTTTCCCTGAAAATTTTCAGAGGGAGTCTAATGGCACCAGACATATTAATTCATAGCTGATGCATGAAAGCTTATCATAAGTGATGCCATTAAAATGGCATATAATTTGACAAACATCAGGATTAAGACTTCAGCATGTTTTTTCCTACATGCACACATCAGAAATGTGATCTTCCACATGTGAGAATAAAAGGAATGTAAAGTCTTCATTTGCGTACTATTACACATTGACATGAATTCTAAAAAAGATTTTTTTCTGAAAGGTTACAACAGTTTCAATTTACTATACAAGCATAAATAACTTCTACAGTCACACATGGTGTTCAGGATCTCCTTTTGACAAAAAAAATCCTGTAGCAGACAGATGAGTACACTTCTAAAAAAGTCAGGCTAAATTTCTGTATTTTCCAATTGCATTTTAACCACAGGCAGATGTTTTCATGTTTTATCTGCCATATCTTCTAACACACTACACTCACAGATCTTTAATTTCCCCACCTCTCTCTCTGTAGAAAACAATGTTTGACTATGTTTTTTCATTTCCACTCACCTGCCGAGCATACGCCATCTCCACATTGTCCAACGAGCTGCGACCTGGAGGGCCCAACTCACCAACGTAGCTAGGCTGTTTAATGAGAAGCATATAAGAAGGTATAAGGTATAAAATTACTGCAATGCATTTAACCAATTACTCCTAAAGAACAACAGCAAAACCATTTTCCTGACAGAACTAAAAACAGTAGGGTTTTGAACTATCTACAAAGTAAAATGAATAGTCTTACTGCAATACCCTATTATCTTCCCAATATAGCTTAAACTTTCTGAAGTGACAGAAATTCTCCTTATTCAGTGCACAAACCATTAGCTCTCTAGAATTAGAACATCAACATCTCTCAACAGCATCTTATAATTTTAATTCTTTCCTTTTGTTTATTGAAAGGTTGCTTATTGTCACATTAGTATCTCTGTGAAGCATCTAGTCTGAATCTCCACCAGAGCAAGGACACACAAGGACACACACAAGAATTCAATGGACCAGCTCAATGGATCCAGTCGAGCAAGGCTGACACTCCAGTTCTGTCATAGTGCCATGACATGGACACAAAATGTGACTGTAGCATTCAATTATCTGCCAAAAAGTGGCCCATTGCTGGTCAGTTGTAGGAGGAAGGATGATGCTGGCAATATACTGACCTGAAAAAGATCATCTTCCTACCTACAGAGACTATGTCAAGATTGAAAAATTTTTGTGCAGAGGAACAGCAGATGGAGTTATGGCATGGAAAATTTGTACTCTTTTATAAAACTTAAAATATAATACTGACATAATATTCTAATGCTGCATAAAGCTATCCTTGTAAAGCATTCACTACAAATCACAGGTATGTTTTCAGTATAGCCACTACTCAACATGGATGTTCACCATTCGGGGGGAAAGAATACTCCTAATTAAGTATGTAATACTCTGTTTCCTGCTTCCTAAAAATGTAATTCTTCATTTCAGCATTGGCAGTGGAAGTCTTCAGTTTGAAAAATAAAGTGCAATCATTTTAAAGACAGATCCCTTTGAGGTAAGCAGTCCTTTAATATCAGCTGCTTCATAAGCAGTGCCACAGCCATGATGCTCTGAAGATAAAAGCAAGACCAGCTCAGTATAGAAGCATAATATTTATTGTGAAGCCAACTGACATAGTTGGAGCAAGTAAAGACGAACAGACAAGCCTGAAGAAAAGCAAGCACATTTTCAGGTCTGAAACTGAAGCAACAGCCTTTGAATTTCAGACTTTGAACCCAAAAGCTCATTTGGCTCTCCCAGGTCTAGTCGGTCTGGTAACAGATGTCACCTCTCTGCACAAACCTTGCTGAGCTTACACCAGGTGTCTAGCTTAGGTAGTTATGAGGATTTAAGATGGTTGTTCACTTCCACCAGGAAAGAGGATGCAAAGCACATAAGCTACATATTGAAAGCAGCTGTAAAGCAAACACTGAGAAGGGGTCTTGCTGTGCCTTGGTTTGTTACCGTATAACTCAAGTCCATCTATACTCCTCTAAACTGATATCAGTAACTTTTTCTGAGAAAGAGCAGGTATATCTGCAGAGTTTTAAAGTTTTTACTATCAAAGTCTGTTACGGCTAGTTGCACCTCCTCATCAGCTGTTATACTGCACCTTAGCAATACTGTCAAATAGCTTTACTTTTTCTTACATCGGTTACCTAGAATGTCAGTACTTTCTTGCACAGATAGGATCACCTTCAAGTATTGCTTAAGGACATGTTCTAGTCTTTCCAGGAAGAGTTCAGTTAAACGTGACTGACTTGCTGCCTGTACAAACAGACAACAAAGCCCAGATGCAATGGAAAAAAATCATTGTTTTCACTTTCAGTGTATCAGCTTTAGACTTCAGCTTTGCTGACACCTGTCAGGCCACAGCATGAAGGACCAACCTTCCTGCCATGACCCAGCTTGCGTGAATTTCAGGAAAAGATCCAAGAAATGGGTAGCTTTTCTCCAGATGGTATCATCATTCAGTTTCTTGTTTCAAATGAGGATGAAATGCTGACAGCGCCTTCAAAAGAATCTCACTTTTTTGGGAACTGTATCCCAACTTTGAAATGAACTAATACAAACATATGAACTTCCAGACATGTTACTAATCAGTCTATGCACTGAACAGTGTTTCAGTCATTCCCACATGCTTATACTTTTAATTTGGTATCAGTTTAATCCAGGTTATCCTCTAAGGTGTAGGACCTCCCTTACACGCATGAGCATATGTTCTTGCAAAGACGATGGCTATCCACTGTTCTAGTTCAGGACTTTTGATGAGGAAAATTTTTGCAATTGTAAGTTTAAAGACCAATAAAGTGACAAAATTGCAATGGCCAAGAAACTGTTCTGAGTTAGCTAGGAATTTATACGTGAAGATAAGGGCACTGACCCCTATTGAGAAACTGTAAGAACTTTGTGATATTTGTGATTACTGCTTTCTGCGTAGCATAGAACAGTTGATTACAGAATAAAAAAAAAAAATCATTTGTGTTTGTCCCTGATATAGTGAAATATAAATGAATGATGGTATCAAAGATGAACCTGGACAATCCTTTAAAATTGCTGGAATTGTTTTATCACTGCATTAATTTCTCAGTAATAGTGCAATTTAAATTATGTCCAACCTGGTTACAAAATCAGGCAGATGTGTTTAGACCTTAGGCAGTATAAAAATGTCTTGCCAAAAGCCCAAAAGAAATCCTACTTTTTCTTTTTGCAGCTGAACTTACACTAAAAATACTCTTCACAGTCACTCCTAATGGATACTGATATTCAGAAGCATTTTCATTTTTCTTTCAGTGCCAAATCATCTGACACAAATTCCTTTAAACCCACCTAAAAAGCGACAAATTCTTTGTTCTAAAGAACAAAGAAGCTGTTAAAGCAGGTTTCCTGGGAAACAGACATGATGGCAGAAATAGCGCTTTGCAGCCTTCCCCTACGCTGTACCAGATAAATTGCAGAGTTATTTAAAGTAACGCTAAATTATGGACGTTGTCATTAATTACTGATGAGGTTTCATCTTCTAAAGCAAGTGAAGAAGGGTACATTGTGACTTAGTGTCACTTTTCAACCAGTGCCCAAACACCAGAAATATAAAGACTGGGGCTTTGTTTTGTGAATCTGGTTCCTTTTTCTCCTGCTGCTGCTTTGCAGCACCAAAGAGCATCCACGTGGCTGCCACTCCAGAGAGTGGTGTATGACTGACAGGTTAAACCCACAGGTAAGGATCTGAATTCAAAAGTGCATGCCTGAAACTAAGAAATAACTGCTCTGGGGTTTGCTTTTTTCCCTTTCCTTTCTCCAATTTTAATTTTACCCTCATCATCATGTTTTGAGGATCACTTATTAAGAATTTGTCACAGCTGAGAACTGCCACATTGAAATTACATTCTTTAAATGCTCACTACTGACTTGGCACTTCAGCAAGGAAAAAATTCAGGAACTGCAGAATTTGTCTTGCTTTTCTGTCTTATGCCAAGAGCCATAGAAGCAAGCTTATTTCTTATTTTCCCCATCTCACACTTGCATTCTGGCTTCATCTTTGAATTATTAAACTTAAAAAAAGCACTAGCTCACTGAACTCTCTCATGGCTGTGCTAAAAGGAAATTTCAAAAGGAAAACTAAAGCAATGAGTCAGCATGGGGAAGGCCGTTTCCACTCCTCACCCAGAACTGCAGAAATGGAGAGCTGTGCAGGCAATCCTTCTGTAGCTGGTAACCAGCATTTGAAAAGTCATCCCCTAGAAGCTAAGGGGGCGTATTTGGGGAAGGGGCAGGATATTCTTTGGTGGCAAGTCAGAAGTGATCAAGTTTTCAAGCAAGGAAAAGATTATGAAAGATGTGTTGAAAACAGCGGCTGCTAGGTGCATGTGAGAAAAATCATCTTTCAGGTTCTTAATTGGAGCAGCAAGAGGAAAAACAGAAAGTGGATAATGCAAAAAGGACTGCAGAAGTGCAAATGCACACACACATCTTTCTGCATCTCTAGTCTGATATTGCTTAAACAGCTTGTGCTGTTTTTATCAACCACATTTGCTTCTCCCTGCCCTGAATTTAGGTCTTTCCAAAACATTCTTCAGAACTGTAATATTTATTCTGAATATTGTCCATTTGTGAAAGCTGCAGCTATACTGCACTGCCGTCACGTTTTTATCTTTAAATTCCTTTAGCCTAACGATGCTGCTTTTCAAAGGAGTCCTCCTTCATTTGTACTCAGCCGAGCATTCAGCTTCACTTGCACACCAAACTGTGTGCATATAAAGATGCATTATTCATCACCCTCATATGCATATGCACATTCCTCAGCAGAAGTCTGGGCAGACATTTTGTCAGCACTCCAAATGGCTTGGCCAGTAGATGCGGTGAATAACTAGGCAGGAGACTGAGCTGGAGAAACACCATCAAAATACATTGCAGTGCAGCAGGGGAGCGGAAAGCATCTTGCAGTCCTTGGGATTTAAGGGATATGAAGACATGATACAGAAGGGAAGAACAAACTGAGAGCGACAGCGCGTCTCTGTCACTGCGGGAGAGGGCTGCTTGACAGCAGCAGTGGAAGAGCTTGGGGTGGGGGTGGAAGAAAGAAAAACCTGGAATAAGAGGACAGAAGAAATGCCTTGGCACCTAGTGGAACAAGACTCGGAACAAACACCTTGAGAGCATAAGTCTTTGAAAACAAAACTCTGGCTTTCCTCCCTTTTCCCCAAGCAGCACATTTTTTTATTAGCTCTGTTTTTCCCTTATGGGAAGGAGGCCAGGCTGGAGGACAAGGGGGAGAAGAAAACCCTAATGGCAAGTCCTGCACTAGCTTCTTTGAATCATGAGCTTTGCCTGTTAATTGGTCTTATTTCCATGAATAACGTGTTGGTATTTCACTCTGCCCAAATTAGCTTGCCCAAAGCTTGAGAATTGGCTCACAGGCAGACTGGCCCCCTGCTGCGTTTGGATCTGTGCCTTTTCAGCTGATTCTCCATCTCCAGAGGATATCAATTAAACCTCTACTATATTCTACAGGCCGTGTCTGTTTGTGTCACACACACACAAAAAACTTATTTGACTGGAACAAGTCTTTAGAAGAACAACCTGCTGTGGGGAGGTTAGATAACAGGCTTTTAACACAGTAGATGCACTTCAAACCTCTCAGACCTTTGACTTCTTGAGGCTAAAACTAGAATATATCAAGGATTTTAAATGCTCTTGAAATGGCATACTGATACTATGAGTGCTTTGAAACAGAGAGTGGAGTATTACTGAGTGAAAAACATTAGAGGGTTCCCCCCCGCCCCAATTTGAAGCTTGGCATCTCAATTGCCATGGACTGGGGGTAGCATCCATTTGACACCAAAGAATCAGAAAAGGGGTTTTACCTTTTCAGAGTAGGTTATTAAATTGCATCTCCTAGCAGTCAGTATCCACACTTCGAAAGGAAAACCCCGCACCAGTAACTCACACACAAATCAAAGATGTTAGAAACTATCAGAATAGCTGCCAAGTCTTCAGACTCGCATCCTAAAATAATGGGATAGCTGTTCCTAGTTTTAAATTAATTCAGCCTGCATTATTTAGCGTTTCTAATATTGGAAAGCTGGACAACCTTCTGAGAAGTCACAGTAAAACATCAGTTATATACTTTCTGGGGAAGATAGCTTCTATAAAAAGATATATGCTAACTGGGATTAACCTATATTTAAAAGAACAGTAATCAGAAAGGGACATTTCATTAACAACTTTAATTATTTCCAAATCCCTATACAGGTCATACCCCATTAACACCAAGGGCTTTTTTATTTTAATGCACTTTGCAGCTGTATAAGTCACTCCAAAGAACAAGAATTTATTTAAAAAAAGAAAACAAACCCCCCAAAATGGGCAGGGGGGTGAAGAACATGGCTATAAAAACCTGTGCCTGTTTTCCGGCCTGAAAGCACAGCAACTTGCATTCCCCCACCCCCTCTCCTCACCTCTCCTCTCAAGGTTACAGTTTTCATGGAGCATCGTGCAGGGGTTGTGATGTAACTTTGCGCTCCAGGGATCTCAGCCGATGCCTGATGCCTCTAGCTCAGAGGGGTGGAGTTCCTACAACTCTGCACTTAACTGTGCTTTCTCTACACATGTATCTGGAGCATTTTCTTTAAAAGAATACACTGTAAAGTTTTAAATTGTAACATAAGATAAGGAATGTTTTAAGTTGCTAGTCAATACCTTTCCATGTTAAACACAGGGTCTGTCTTGCACAAAGGATTTAGTCACTTGAATTGCTGAACACTAGAGGTCTTAGAGGCACAGAATTTGAATCTGCATTCCATGAGAGAGCAAGGTAAAAAGGAAAGCATATTCCCTCATTTTGTTGTTGCATATTCATCTGGTGTTACCAAGAAATCTGAAAGACTTCGTCAGCCTAAGAAAAGCCATAAATCCTGGCTAGGACACAGTGATAAGGGACAGAGATGCACTAAGACCTATGTGTGAGCATCATTACACCTGAGAAACTACTTGGTCTCATTAGCGTTGCAAAGGTTTCCTGCAGGTGAAGTTCACCCCAATGTGTTTTCTGTCCCCTGGGTGTATTGATGTAATATGCATTAGTGTGACTTTAAATTTCCGGCTTGCACATATGTTGCTTAAAACATAGCTTCAGCAATAGGAGCTCCACTGCCTGTAGTCATCGGTCAATAAAAACAATCATATAAGGTTTGATACTTTGCTAGACAATGCATTCTGCTAGTCACAGCCGTTCTGGAATTAACTAGAGATTTGATGTTTCTCATTTTCACACAGTTGTAGCTACAGAATAATCCAGAGGTGGTTTCAGCAGTGCTGGAGTGCCAGCTGCGTACATGCCATGTGTGACTATGCACAGTGTTTAGAAAGACAGAGTTACCTCATTTTCCTGGGTGAAATCAAGAGCATCTTCCCCTGATGCAAGCAGAGTATGCAGAATCCTTTGTTTCACCTGTTCCCATTCAACCAGCATTGATTCTCGGTGATACTCCTCAGCCATAGCAAATGTCTGTTGGTGAAGAAGAACAAGAGCTAAGGAACATACAGAAACACCAAACAGCCTAGCTCTACTATTAATAGATCAACTAAAAAATGAAACAGAAAATAGCAACTAGATAAATCAACCAGGTCAGCCCTCAAGACCTAATGATGTGCTGCGTATTATTTTAACAGGCTGCCTGTTCAGGTACGAGGGGATTCAGAAAGTAGGGGTGTGTGTGTAATTAAGACAACTCTCACATACCCAAGCTGGTAAAACAGGGAATCTGTGTCTCTTCCATGGTGCTGCAATACACACAAAACTTGACAGGCTGGAAATCAATAGGCTTCGTTCTTTAATTCAGCAGCATGGACACAATATCCAAGTAATCACTGATCTGTGTAGTTTGTTGAGACTAACTTCTCTAATGGCAACCACCTTTTCACCTCCCTAGGGGCTATAAAGGTTTGACTCACTGCATTCCTAACAGAGACGTGTGTTTATTGCCCATATTTAATTTTCAGGTCTTTACCAGTACGTTTTTCTTTTAAATATGAAATAGGATAAAAATGAAAGTATTAAAGAAAATTAATCAGTGCCAAAGAATCAGAACATCTCTCTCATCAGGAACGTTAACTCAGGGAGGCACGCAGGAAAATCACATCCCAAGAAGAAACATCCTTTTACCTTTAAGATGGCTGATGTGCTACATTGCCTTCAGATCCAGCTGGGGAACTCATGGAAACAAACAGCTTTTCCCTCAATATTCCTTATTTTAGCAATAGCATTAGGATAGGGAAGATGCTTCACTACCTTTCTTGTTATTGTTGGGGTGACGCTAACCAGCAGCCTTGAATATACCGGGACAGGAAATAAGAGTATTTGCACTAATTCTAAACAGAGAATAAGCTATATTGGACCTTCCACTTCTTTCTCTATCCCAACCTTCTCTGTCTTTCACGTAGCTTCGTGCTGCAGTGTACATAACTGTCTTGGTTGGCTGAATAAGTTTTTCATCTCATTACAGCCCACTGTTAGGATATTGTCAATTAAGGGGCAAAACATTCCCCAGTATAAATGAATTGATAAGAGGCAGTGACATTTGGCAAACATTTAATTATGGTGCATGCATGCAACTTGAGCATAAGATTTGTGTTTATTATATAAATTCACTTTATACTTTCATGGTAGAATATAGGTCTTATCCTTACCTTGACGATAATAATTTTGACAGGGTTTTAAATATGCTTCAATAATTACAGCATAATTATATGTAATTAAAATAATTTAATAATGCTTAAGTACTATTTCTTATCATTTGAAGGAAACACAGGCTCAGTTCTAAACCTGATGCCCCAAGAAAACACAGAGGGAAAGAATCATAACATAAGCACCAGGAAGCATGCAATGACATTTCCAAGCAGCAGTTTTAAGACAAACAACAGGAACCGTTCTTCCACACTGCATAATTCAATTGTGGAAATCATTGCCCCAGAACATGACAGATACCAAAAGCATAAATACAGAAACAGGATCAGATGAATTTCACATCAGAAAACAACTTTCAGCTCAGAAAAATCTTCAAAACAACCACTTGCTTGGAGGTGAAGAGACAGGAGGTGAACAGGGGATGGCTAATTACCTTTTTTTCTTACAGACTGTCTAAGTACTGGTCCCTTTCTAGGGAAAACTGGACTTGGCAAACCTTAAGCCTAAGTGACAACTCTTATTTTCTTATTGTAGCATTTTCCTTTGTACTGCTTCAAAAAAAAACCTTTTTTTTTCTTCCCCTTATATGAGAGATTTCCTTTGGACAATGTGATGCAGCATGGCGTTATGGTCTCCTACAGACACAAGAATTAAACCTTGCAGCACTTCTGCTGCACAGGCCTAAGTGTGAGTGGTAGGTACTTCAACAACTCCTGTAACCTGGAGAAACAGCTACAATAAACACATTGAGTGTCATCACTGTATGGGAAGTCAGTGCACAAGGCATTTCTTGGAGCAAAAAAAAGGAAATAAACCCCATGTCCTAGGCATTATCACCTCTAGAAAAGGCAGCATCCGTGCTGAGAGGGTTGGAGCAAGCGTGCTGTGCCTTACGAACAACAGCTTCTCTGTTCAGATTTAACAACTGTGAGCCTCCTGACCCTACAAAGTTACTACAGTTGAAATACAACTGACAAGTATTTCTTCTGGAAATTCTATGCAAGTATTTCCTAATGTCTAATTTTTCTATATTCTCAACACAGTCCTCTCAAATTCCACTAGTTTATTAAATATCTGATTTAATAATTCCTTAGGGACCCACCCCCCCCATGCCTTTTTTTTTTTAAGATGGTGCTTGCTTCCAACTTACCCTCTTCCTAGACTCTTCAATAGCTGATAGCAATGCATTATCTTTTTCATTCTTCAGGAATCCCTGCAGAAAAGGAGAAACAGAGCTTCAGTCAAAAAGTCAGCCTTGCACTAACATCAGATACAGATTGTAGTACTCAGCTTTTTCAACTCTGAGAAGTGCTTGGAGCTCTCCCCCCAATCCACTCCTGAGAAGTTTAAAGGTCACTTTACTTCACCAGAGGTACAGCAAGATGCTCATACAGAGCAGTGTGAAAATGAAAATGCATTAATCCCCTGTTTTAATATGCATTAAATCCTAGTGAAATGTCCTGCTTCTGTTCTCTTTTATCTCTGTGTCCCAGCAACTGCTTCCTCTTGCTCTCCATTTGAGGGAGCTAGGATGAAAGCTGGTAGGAGCGATAAGCCAAGATAAGATTGTTGGACTCGAGTATGTTGGGGAAAGAAAAAAAAAAAGGTTTTGACTTGGCAGCTTTAGGCAGGAGTGGAGCTCTTGGAGGCCTGATAGGAGCTGTGAAAAGGAGCCTTAAAAATAGTCAGCTGAAGAAGGATAGAAATAACTAAACAGTTGGAAAGGATACAGGAAAAAGTTTACCGCACAGCCTCTCTCCATGCATACAGCTGGAGTGGATAAAAAATAGTATGTAAGAATTATATTTTTAATTTTCAGCATATCAGTAAATCTCACATAGGTCAGGTGTGCATGAACAGAATGATTTAGATGAGCTGTTAGCTCCTTATCCCAAAGGTTACTTTCATGACCCATACTAGGAAACATGATATTTTGAATTTTAAATAAACAGCCATGGGGTAAACTGCAGTAACACACACAGATAACAAACAGGAAACATTTATTACACCCTAACTTGAATATCTTTATTTTGCATTTTCACTGTTACATCACCAATTAAACAAACCAAGTTAATTTGTACTCCTAGACTTCAACTTAATCATTATTCAAATAATAAAAAAGGAAAAGCCTTTGTCTCCCTCTGAAGTAATCAACTAGAACATTATCAACTCCATTAAGTGCTAATATCTTAAGAATCTGTATGCTCACCCCACAGCTCTAAAATTAAGAGCTGCTAACAAACCTAGGGAGTGGGAATTTAATGTACCATGCTTTATGCTTTTACAGTGAAGATGCACAATTGCAGCAGCATCTGACTGAACTTGTCAGGAATCAGACTTTCATGCCCTTCATTCCCCACATCTTCCTGCAAATAAATGGTTCCTGCCCCAACAATCTGACAATATCGGTATTGATCCATACAACCTAGGCAGAGCTCAGGATCTTCAGAGGAGCACAGATCCTGCGGCACAACAGAAACTTGTTGTCATAGGGATTTGGACCTTTGGGAAAATATTTACGGTAGGTCTTAGAAACAGTCCTGCAGCAGTACTACACGCAACCACAGGTATCACAGATTGGTACTTAGCTCTGGGAGGTGAGCAGGAGTTGAAATCTCCCCAAACTGAAGAAATCTAGCAGGAAACTCTGCCGCATAGGTGTGCTGTCTGCCTTCCTGCTACCCAGCACCAGTATGTGAAATAAAGGGCATTGCACCCTTTACTTCTGAAATATGTAAAACAAGCATTTGAGGTATGGGACAGCCTGTGACCCCCTTCAGCTGGAAATAGGAATGTGACCCCTTTCTGTATTCCAGATAGAGAACGAACGGCCATCCTCCGAGACAGACGTGCAACGCAGTCCCCCCAGAAACAGCCCTTGAATTACATATGGAAGATAGCAGCAACTTCTACACAGCCTATTCTTCATTTCAACGTCCGCCATGTCCCGTTTTATTTTCAGACAATACCCACAGAGAAAGCACAGTTACAATCTGAAAAAGGGAAGCTAAATCCAGATCCTTGCACATGTCTGGGGACCAATTATTACAGCAGCTGTCACCAAGGCAAAGGCTGCTGCAGTCACCTAACTGGGCCAAGGCCTGATTTCAGTTCTGTGCAGGAGAGGTGGGGAGGGATGGAGACATAGCTTTGTAAGGTTTGTCCATGCCTATATGGGTGGAAGGACTTTGGGAGGGCAACAAGTTGGGTTGGGTTTTTTTTTTTGTTGTTTGTTTATTTGGGGGGGGGGGGTTGGTGTGTTTGGTTTTGGTGGTTTTTTTGTTTGTTTGTTTTTTAAATTTCCCCGCCTCCAACCTAAATTGCAGAAAAATTACCTGGAGTTATAACAAGCAGTGCTTCTAGACCAGCAAAGTGCACACCAACATGTGAACAGAAGACACAGCCACATTTCTGATGGCAGGGATCTGATGCTGCAGAGAACACTGTGTGTTTGCCGTATCCTAACAACGCAACTAATTTTACAGGCAAAAAAAAGCCCACCATCTCTAAGACACAGACCTACATCTATCTGGATGTGACAGAAGATGCTGAGCACACCCAGCCAGGCACCACAGCTTGTAGAGGTCCTGGATGCCCTGGCTCTCTGCTTCCTCTGTGAGAACTGGGCTCCTGAAAGTCCAGAGAGATACAAGTCCTACCTCACTGCCCTCGGTCCTCCTCTCTCTCCGTGGAGGGATGTGTGCCCTGAGCTGAGCAGGTATCTGCCTAAAAAGGTACACGGCAATGATGGTAATCAGCAGAATAATTTAAGATGTGCTTGAACTTCCCTTGATGTCAGTAAATCTAGGCTGAGTATCTTTCTTAATGAAACCTCCCAGCTCCCAGAGAGTTCACTAGGTCCGTTTAAGGGATTACGTTACACCAAATGCCAATTAGGGGATGATAATTATCTTTTTCAATCTCAAAACCTACTACTTTAGCAACTGAAAATCCTCACACATTCCAAATAATATCTGTAATGCCTCACTGAGGAGAAGTACATTTTAAAAAGGTTGCCCTATGCTTTGTGCTAAACATTATGACTGTAGCATGACAATTGCTGCTTCAGTTAATTACAGGCTAATTGTTAAACCTCAGAAGAGGGAGTTTCAGTAGCTGATGCTGGGGCTCCTGCTACTGCTCACAAGACTGCTTCTGCTTAGGCCAAACAGAGCTCCCAGCGTTGTCACTCTTAGGCTTTGGTGGCCAAAATTTCCCACGTTTAGAAAGTGAGGAGTGTCCAGGTGCTGTAACAGTATTTATTCCGTGGGTTTATTTCATTGCCACCTAGTGGCACACTATGCTTTGGTCACTGGACATTTAGATTTCCCTGATGCATATAAAAGCACACAACTGTCCATCTGCTATAAGAAAAAGCATAGCTCTCTGGAACAAGGGTGGTCAGAAAGATTGGAGAGATGTGCTTTATGTTAGAGAATTTTGGTCTTCAAAAATACTAGGCCACATTTACAGCTTTAAGGGTTCACATATCTCTTAAGTCTGGACCTTGAACAGTGCTGGTTGTGCTCAACAAGTTACATCTGCCCTAAAAAACTTTCTGCAATCCCAGAGGCAAGGTTTGACTTTGCCACGAATGCTTGCAGACTGTACCAAGGATACAGAGCTATGGCGTTCAGCATGCACAGGGAGTACACGACCCATATTGCAGGAGCTGCCTTCTCAAGGGAGATGCTACTGATTGTACAATGAGCAACGAGACACTGCTTCATATTCAGTATCCAAAGACAGAAGCAGGAGGAGAACAGAGATATTGTTAGGAGACAAAGGGCTATTTCACAGTGGCAGATTGCAAAGATAGGAATAGCTAACACGACCATCACTAAAACCTCAGAGGTGAAATCCTCACCTTGCAGCACTCTGTGCACAAGCTCTGCCATTGCAGGGATCCCAACATAGCCTGGATTTTGCTTGAAAATGAAAATTTATCTTATTTCCCTGAGGCAGGTTTACACAAAAAGCTCACAGAGCCTTAATGCCACATCATGCTGTCCTGCTTTAGTGAGTACCATTTTAATTTTCCTCTGTTACTGTGGGACTCCCACACATTCTTCCTGTGTCTAGTTTGGAAGGGAAGCAGCAAAACTCTTCTGCATCACAGGTTCTCTGCAACACTCGCTGCTGAATGTTTCCTACACACGATTTGTACAATATCTGATGAGATGGTGTTTGCAAAACAGGGACACAGGCATAGAAATACACCCACTCTCCCACCTTCAGGTTCCCATTTTTGAGCTAGTCCCACTTATTCTTGCACATCTACTGGCTCTCAGCATTTTTCCCCAGCACATTCCAGTTCCTCTTGGATCTCTTACCCCTTGGATTCCAGTCTGATCTTCTCACATTCTTCCCTCTCTGCAGAAATCCAGCCCCACTCTGGCTTGCTCGAGGATGGTTTGTAAAAGTGGCCCCACCAGTGGAGGGGCAGGACCTGCGGGAGGCTGTGCCCTGTTCTTGCCGTGTTCCTTGCTCCACAGTTATTTCTCATCTCAGGCAACCGCTGCCTGACACAAGTTGATGTGATAGTAACCGGCACCTGCCTTGCTCCAGCCTGAATTCCAGCAAGAAAGTGTTCCAGTACCTAATTCATTATTGGTACGAAAGTGCATGCATGCACTGATGGTCTCCTTTTGACAGAAGATTGAAAATCTCTTCCATTTCCTGCAGTAAATGAGGTTAGTAAACTCTCTCCTGGCTGATAGAAGTCTCTTAATTACTTCCATCAGCCAGGCCATACTTTTAATACTTGATCTTAGCATTCAAGCTGTCAAGAGAAGGCTAATGTTGCCAAACAGAATACTGAGGCCTTGGATGTTGACAGCAATGCTTACTTTTTCACTGGCAGGAGAAGAAAGGAGAAAATGAAATGAACAATCTGGGGCCTTTTCAAGTCAATTGCTCTTTGATTAAAATATTTCCAAGTGCTGGATTTCCAGTAGATCCAGTGAATCCTGCAAAGTACCAGCAGGGATGATGATTATATGGTTAACAAAAATCACTCTTTGGCAATGGTTTGGGAACAGTAGCTCCAGATGAAGCACCTGATTTTATTATCTCTACTAGCAATTCTAAGAAATTATTTGCTAAATACAATCCTGGTGCAAATGTGCACACATCTGAGCACACTCACGGGGTGGTGCACCCTGGCACAGTCCTCCTGGCCATGTTCTCTCTGGAAACAGAAAATGAAGCAAA